TTGGGGGGAAATCTGTGTATTTGTGTGTTTTTATCCTACAAGGATTTACTGGCTCACCAAGCAGAGACGTGTTTAACTTGTGCAGTCAATGTGTGTGTGGGTGTGTGTGTGTGTGTGTGTGTGTGTGTGTGTGTGTGTGCGTGCGTGTGTGTGTGTGTTTGCATGTGTGCTGTACTGATGAATGGCCCAGCTCTTAATGTTCTCAACCACTCTGTGGACTAACTAGACTATTTAATCACTCTCTCTCTCTCTTCCTCCTTCTCTCGATTTTCTGCTTCTCTGCCAAAGCTGAGTGTACTGCTGAGGTGAGGCAACACTTATTGTACAATACACTACCTGTGTGTGTGTGTGTGTGTGTGTGTGTGTGTTTGTGGACTGGAAGTGTGACGCTGCATCAGTCAGTGTCCAGCCTGCTGGCTCGCACACCTGTCGGCTCGTTATGGAGCGCAGGAACAGACAGAGCTGGCACACCGAGCATAAATCTAACACACACACACACACACACACACAAGTATACACAAACACACACACACACACAACCTTGTTATACTCTTGTTGACTTTTGCTCACTCGGTCTAACTTCCCTTAACTTCCCCCTAATTGCCTGACTGCAGCCATTACTTTACCTTTTACATTCAAGACTTGTGACACTTAAAAGGACCCTTTTTGTTAATGAGGTTCTGAATAGGACGCTCAAAAAAAATACTTTTAAAGAATTCTTATAAGATATGGTAAAGATCTCTCTCTCTCTTTCTCTGTCTCTCTCTCTCTCTCTCTCTCTCTCTCTCTCTCTCTCTCTCTCTCTCTCTCTCTCTCTTTCTTTCTTTCTCTGTCCCACACACACACACAGACACGCACACAAACACACTAACATACACACACATTTACACATACCTTGCTGACTGGACCTGCAGTTTACTTGTAACTGGAGGTGGATGTTTCCATGCAATATGACAATTTGTGGTGTGAGTGACTATACAGTGTGTGTGTGTGTGTGTGTGTGTGTGTGTGTGTGTGTGTGCCTGCAGCCATAATGAGCAGTGGGCCACAGGATACCCAAAGGCAAGGTTCCCAAATGGGGTCAGACTCAAGGACGTCTGGCACTGATCCATGTGCCACCCCACACACACACAAACACACCCACCACTCACACACACTCACACACACACACACACACCCACACAAATCATGTTGCACCAGTAAGCAAGTTGATCCAGCAGTGTTTCACAATATGCGGAAACACATGCGATTCTACATCATCACACCCACCCATTATGTTCGTCTCTTTATATCTTTCCCCCCACACATAGCCCCCACCCCCACCCCCACACACACACACACACACACACACACACACACACACACACACACAAAGTGAAACACCCTCTATTCGTCCCCAAACGAACGAGAGATTCACGCTTCACTGGCAAAGACTCTCAGAGTGTAGGTTATTAATGAGAGCATGTCCCGAACAACATTACAGAGCTACTGCCCCATGGAGGATATAGAGGAGGGGAGAGAGGAGGGAGAGAGGAGAGGAGAGGAGGAAGGTGCACAGTTAGAGAGAGAGAAAATAAAGTAGAGGAAAGGGAGAAAAGAAGAAGAGTGGAAAGAGAAGGAGAGGACGGAAACGTTTGATTATGAGAGAAGGTGCAAGAGGAGGTGGAGGTGGTCGAAAAGGAAAGAGGGGAAATAGAAGATGAGTAGGAAAAGTAACATAAAGAAAGTAGACAAAGAGGAGAGGAGACGAAATGAGAAATAAAAGACAAAGGAGGGGAAACAGATGTGGAAATGATAAGATTGGGAAAGCGAAAAACAGAAAATAGGAATGGAGAGGAAACGAGTAGTGAAGGGCAGGGAGAAGTGGGGAAAGGAAGAAGGGATGACAAAGATAGTTGGAGGCAAAGATATTTGAGGTGAAGAAAGGTCGGTAAAAGACGAGTGAAGAAAGGGAACGGGACGGAGAAGGGGAGCATAAACAGCTACATGAGAGGAAATGAGAGGAGAAGGAAGCACGCAGAATAAGATAATTACAAGAGGAAATGGGAAAAATGAGAGAACAGGTTATTAGTGTGGTTACGATTAAAAAGAGGGAAGGGGAGAGGAGAGGAGAGAGAGAGGAGGAGAGAGGAGAGGAGAGGAGGGGAGACGAGAGGAGAGGAGAGGAGAGGAGAGGAGAGGAGAAGAGAGGAGGGGAGAGGAAAGAAAGGAGAGGAGAGGAGAGGAGAGGAGAGGAGAGGACATTGGGGGTGGTATAGGAAAGAAAGAGGAGGGATCAAGAGATGAGTAAGGATGTAAGAATGGGAATAGGAAAGGAGGAAGCAGAAACATATACGTGAGGAGCTTCATTAGGTTCCTTGTCGTAATAGCAGAGGAGACAGTGCCATCTAGCGGCTAGTGTCTGAATCTCTCCTATACAGTAAAAACCCACTCAGCCCTGCATGCTCATCTCACACTCCCTCGCACCTCCACACACACTCTGATAGCGTGCATAAACATCCTCCTCCCCGCTGCTTCACACTCAAACAAGCTGCTGCTCGCGGTCATTTTTCACCCGGGCTCGTGCGCCATTACCGAGGCAACATGCACCGAGCGCAAGGAAACATATTTGGGAATTGATAACCAGTCTCGTGAGCCCCTCGCTGTGTGTGTTTGTGCTGCTTGGCTTTTAGAGTGAAAGTGATCCGGGGAGCGTTATGGGAGCACAGCGCGATAAGCCCGGTGTCACTGGCGTCTAATCATACTCCATGTTCCTTATCGACTCCTGGCTGACGAGACGGAATGAACTGTGGAGAAGAAGGGGGGGGGGGGGGATGGAGGGAGAGGAGGAGAGAAATACAAGGTTGGAGAGGAAAGGAGATAGGAGAGGAGGAAAAGTGAAGTAGGCCTATTAGAAAGGTGAAGGGGGGGGGAGGAAAAAAGGGAAGATTTAAGGGTCTGTTGCACTAAAAGCGTAAAAGGAACCAGTGCCAAGCCCCGTGTCCCAGCTCACCTCACCTCCCACACAGCACGAACCCACCTCCTGTAAGAAGATCCTCCACTTTAATGCAACTACCCACCACGCACACGCATGGTTTATGTGTGTGTGTGTGTGTGTTGGGGTTATCAGGAGCGCTGAGGATGGGTGGTAATTGAATAATGACAGTAACGCCTCTGATGGATCACCTGTCACTCTTCCCTCTCCTCTTCTTCCATCACTGTCATCTCTTCTCTCTTCTCTCTTCTCTCGCCTCACAACCTCCGGTCAAATTGTCTCCTCGCGTCCGCGCCGTCACCCGTTGCCAGTACAAAAATAAAGACACCCACGAACACGCGATTGGTGACGCGCCCGTTAACACGCAACCCCTGAAAAGAAACTCATCCGCACGCTCTTTATTAGAGATATTAGCAGTCACAAAGAGTCGACAAAAAGTTTTCACACACTTTGAGTTACAGTTAGAAGTCAGGCCATCTGAGTTTTAATGGCAACATACACACAAGTGCTCCAGTTTTACCCCGGATTCAACTGGTGAGAAGTGAACCAGAGGTGGAAGAAGCATTCAGGTCATCATTCAAAATGATTAGCTGCATTCACTGCAAGCATCTGCACTACATGTCAGGTGGAGCTCTTTTAGCCATACCCAGAATTAGAGAGGGGGGGGGGGCTTCAGTTACTGTGGTCCCTCTCTCTGGAACAAGCTACCTACTGAGCAGGGGGTCCATCACAACTGTTTGCTCTCCCAAGTGAATAGTTACTGTGTGTGTGTGTGTGTGTGTGTGTGTGTGTGTGTGTGTGTGTGTGTGTGTGTGTGTGTGTGTGTGTGTGTGTGTGTGTGTGTGTGGTTATTGATGTTTGCTTTGTGGTGTGAATTAGTTGATTGATTTGATTTATGAATCCTATTCATGACTGTGGACATTTTTTATTTATTTTTTTGGTATGCTGTGTCTTCAACCTCAATGTAAAGCTTACCTGTAATGAAATGTGCTCTAGAAATAAAATGTGATGCATAAAATAATTGCAATCAATGATGCTATTGTTTATATTAGGTGTATGAATGGGGAGCCGAATTCATAACATGAATGGGTACTTTAAATCAATAGATATGTCATATTTTGCAAGTCAGACTCTTTGACCGCACGTCTTACTCTTGTTGGGGAGATTTAAGTAGTCGGACGACTTCAAACACAACTTATTTTCTTTGATCCCATTTTTTTATCTTTGCACTTAATGTGTTTTACTTGACTCTTGAGTTGACTCTGTGAAAAGCCTCTATTGATTCTCGATCTCTTTTTAAAAATTGCATTTCATTTCCACCTGAGCGTTAAAACTCTTACATTTCTTTCACACCTTCAACTCAAGGCTGAGCAGCGCTTGTTGGTGCATTACAGCTGGATGTGAAGCGAGAGAGCCGAGGATGGAGAGGACTCTCAGCATGTGCTGCAATGCAGTGTAATCTACAGTTTCTGCTAAATGCTTGTCATCCATCACAGATACAGAGTTTTTTCTGTAAAGGATTAATGTTGTTAATCAGATGAAACAGTGCCAGCGGGGGTGCTTTTCTGTCCACCCTGAGAAGAAGTTTGTTTCTACCTGGGGACCACCTATGATGATTGTGTGTCCCTGATTCACCTTCCTACCTGGGAGGTGCTTTTCTCCACCTGAGTGAACACTGGAATCTGTGTGCAAGTCTTTGTGAACACCCCTCCCCCCTTTATTCTACTTCTCTGCGTCCTATTGCATCCCCTTGCTCCCTCTTCTTCCCTTTCCCAGAATGACTGAGAGGAAACAAACAGCCTTTTACCAAATACATGTGTGCATAAGAGGCCAAAAACAATGAGAGGGAGATGAGGGAGTGTGAGATGAAGGAAGAGAGATGCTATCAAGCATAATTCATTTCCGCACAGATATCGTATAGCGGTCTCAGGATAATTAGAAGCCGGCTGCAAAAGACAAGAGAGGATTATTTTCTTTATCATCGTTTCTTTAATTGGTTGGAGAAAAAAAAAAGGGGTTTTGCAGCTCTACACATTCAGCATGAGTATTTACATCAGGCCTCTTTGAAGACTGTCGACAACAGAGGAAACAAACAGCACCGTACAAACCAGAGTTGATTTAGTACAACAGATACGCCTTTATCCTTCACAAATGAGGTGCAAAATATTGCAAGAATGTTTGCTTCTTTCATCTTGCACACTCGAGGAGTCTTTATTCCACCAAGACATTATACGCAGTGGGATCAAATGTGACTATTTGATAGAACGTAAGACTTGCAATTACCTTAGCAAATCAGAGTTAATACATTTCTGTGTTTGTATCTGGCAGCTCTAACTTGATGGATTTCTTCTGGTTTAATGAGTAAAAAAAAAAAAAAAGGTTGACAAGGAGAACTTGATCTGGTTTATCTGTGTCAGAGCCGAGCTCTGTGGTGCAGAATGGGAAAGATATAATATTATATAATAAAGGTGGAGATTTTAAATGTTACAGTACAGGATTTGTAGGTCAAGTAAGGCTTTCAACTGGCCCTGATTCAACTGTAATTCTTAAATCATGTATCAGCATCTACTACAATTGGTATGCCAATCAACATGTTCTCATAAAGCACCTGGTTTCAGGTAACTATTGCAATGATTGTGTAACAAACTATATCAGTGTGGTGAAAGCGGAGAGTGTGATGTTAGTTCAAGATGGCCTCATGTCAAAAAATCTGTTTTTTTCTCTCCAAAAAACATGATGTTTATTTTATTTTGGCACTGGTATAAGAGGGTCTTGGTACTCAAGTCTATAACAGAATCATAATCGGGAAGGAAAAAATGGGTTTATTAGAACATCTTAAAACATGTCAGAGATATGTGTGAGTGTTTAAAAAACTACTATTTCTTCACAGCACAACTATTTAACAATACTTTTATTAGTTATGATATTTTTGGATATATAACACACTAAAATAATCATTACTTTAAATACGTTCTCTCATTATTAAAGCGCCTGTGAGGAATTAGGGTTGGTGTCAGTTTTGGCGCCCCCTGTGGACAAAGTGGATACTACTCATGCATTTTTGTAGGTTTTGCTGTTTGATTTTTTGGGGGTTGGTTTCTAACAAAGAATCTCATCCTGCTTTCTTTTAACAATCAAATGTATCACTCATCTTGAACCTTGCCGGAAGAAAATGTAAAAAAAAAAACTAAAAAGGCAGTTTTTGCCGCGCTTAACCGCTTTGTCTGACAGCTACCCTGTGGCAGTAGTTCAGACATTGCAAATAACTATAGAGAGGATTAATCTTCTTGCTGATGGTCTTGTTTGCTTTTCAAGGTCATAAAGAGGCATCAGTATTCATTTCAGTTAGTTTCATAACCGTCCAAAAACTTCTCACATGCGCTTTAATGACTCGCTGTTGATAGCAATCTTTGAGTAATAGTGATAGGACGTAGAAAAACACAACAGGAGTCGACATATTTCTTCACGAGTCAAGGCAAGACGGACAAAGAAGGTTATTAAGAGTTCATTTTGAAAGTTATGGTTGATTCAAATGTTGTCAAAGTTTTTTAAAAAAGAGGTTAAAGAGTCACTCGGAGGTCACCGTAGGCAACCTGAGCTCTAATCCAGTTCGTCCTAACTTCTATAGTGTAACACTATACTGGGCTGGCACAGTCTGGTCCACCATACCAGCCGTGAGAAAGCAGTGATCCAAAGTGTTGTAAGCTATACAAGCCATGGGAAAGCTGCAACACTACAGACACACTAACACATAGGCACATCGAGATGCACACACAACTTCTCTCTCACTCCCACACACAAAACAGTCTAACATGCCCGACTGCCAATTACAGCATTAATGGCTGTGGGGGGAAAAAAGAGTGTATACTCACAAACACACTTACAGTAACTGAGACTTCTAAGCTCAAAGTTAATAGCACCCAGTTGTTCAGTGCCAGAGACAGACCCTGTATAGGTGGGGGTGGGGGGGTAGTAAGGTGGGGGGTGAAGCTTAGATTAAGGGAATAAGAAGGGCACAGTTTTCCAACAGACACAGAGAGTAGGAACACTTCTTTCATGCACGTATATATTGAGAGAGATTTTAAAATGCTTCAAAAAGCGACGCAATGTGTAAATAACATAAGAACTATTAACTTGCACTTCTTTTCTATTTTTCTTACTTCAGCCCTGTTCTTCATTGTTCCCTACTCTTTGTTCAAAGTGTCCTTTAAAAGCTTAATTTCAGGACATTTTCAGTCCTGCTCTCAGTCGATTAACCCCTCTTAGCGATGTCCTACCCCTGCCGGTGCTATAGAGGAAGTACTAGGTCAGGGGAGGACGAGGCTGTTATATCAGAGAACGGGTGGTGAATAAACAGACAAACACCAAAGTACAGCAGAAAAAATAGATTTAAAAAAAAGAGAGAGAGAGAGAGAGAGACAGATGGCAGGGAGGAGAAGGCAGAACGGGAGGACGGAGGCAGAGGGATTCAGTGGAAGTTGAGGTGCTGGATGTCTTCCTCCTGTTCCATCAGCAGAAGCCTGTTGGAGGGAAAGCGCAGTAATGAGAACAGCTGCAGTGGATACACACACACACACACACACACAGAACGAGGAGGAGAAAACCCACTCCTCCAGCCGCTTATCCAACCCCTCTTCATCAGCAGAGCCACACAAACACTCCTCCACTCACAGGAAAAACACACACCCTCCCTCTTACCCTCACACTCGAAGGCTCGCAGCATGGTGGTGTAAGTGGGGCCAAGCCAAGAGGTGTAGCTACCCAGAACCCTCTGCAGGTGGTGTGTGGAATCGCTAAAGAGCAGATTGGATTCGCCATAGCCGGCTGAGCTGAACAGGCTGAAGCCCTCGGTGGCGTTGCCAAACACATTCTGCAGGAGAGAGATGGTGTGACAGGACTTAATGCATGAGAGCATGCATGGACGTGCGTCGGCGTGTGTGTGTTTCTTTTAGTTTTGTAGAGCGTGGGTGTGTGTGTGTGTGTGTTTGTGTTTGTGTGTGTGCAGCCAGGGGATCAGCACAGGAGGTATCAGTCATCCTGGCATCTCCCACACACACTCAAACACACTCAGTAAGGAAGAAGGATGGCAGTTTAGCAGAAACCTACATTCTGAGACGTGCTGATCGATAACGCAGACTCCACAGAGATATGAGACACACACACAAAAACAGAGATGATATATTTTCTGTCCAAACACCCACCTGTAAACGCTCCAGGAACTTCCAGACATGACACTTGTCCTCCATGCGGACCACCACAGCGTTGGTGGGTACGGCTGCCAGATGGCATCGCTCAAACTCATCCAGACCGGCCTCGGTTCCATCAGGACACAGCAGCTTCAGGTCCTCCAGCTCCAAATCCAGGGCCCAGGACTCCTGGTTCTTACCTGGGAGGGAAGGAGCGAAGGTGCAAAGTGGTTTAGAAAAGTGACTCCCACTCAGAGTAGCAGGATTAACAAGTATTTTATTTCTAAAAGACTGCATTTAACTTTAAAATCAGAGGAATAGTGCAGCATTAACATTTTAGAGGTAATAAATTACAGCATTGCGTAATGGTGCTTTTCTCCCCAAGCATTAGATTTTTTCATTTTACCAGGTGTGTCACATTGAGATTAATAACCTATTTTCCAACGGAGACCTGGCCAAGACAGTCAGCAGCAAACACACAAAGTTACAGACACAAAGGGAGACAAAATACTATTCAAGGTGAACAGTCAAAAATCAATCATAGCCCAGAAACAGCAAACGTTAACTAACTCACCACCGACTATAGGAGCCATTTTTGATGTCGATACTTCAGTCATTAAAAAAATGGGGGTGGAGCTAGTGCTATATCAGACTTAAGGTTTACAAAACCCCTCTTAGTTTTCCAAGTAAAAAATATACAGCAATATGCACTGAGGTCACTTTTTCACCAGACCACGCCCCCTCAGTGGGATTGGGTGGGAAAACATCCTCCAACATGGCAGCCTTTAGTAGCAGTCCCGGAAATGACAAAAACACAATATGAGGACATTTGAACTCAACAGAGATCCCTTTAATTTACTAAAGACGCAGTGGCCCACAGACGTTGATATGTGGCCAGAAATCAGGTTTCCTGACTTTATACCTGATATCACTTTAGTTGTTGGCAGTCAGTAAAAAGATCCCTCTGTGTTGGTTGAATCAGTTTGTACTGGTGATGACTCTGCAAAGCTTGATGTCAACTTGTTTAAAAGTCGTGCCGCTTCAGCCTCTTGAAGTGTCTTCAGCCTGTTTTAGCCTTTTAACATGAGTTAGTGCATATTTCATCCTTTCCTTAAGTTTTTTCACCTGCAGACTTTAAGCACTAGAACTAGCTTCCAATAACTTTGCAGAGATTGTAGTTTAGTCGTCAAAAACCAAAGCACTTGGTAAGGAATAAGAATCCTGCTTTGTTTGCATCTTCCTGTGATCAAATACTATATGTTAAAACATTAATGCCTTTTTCCATTAATAAACCCACCAGTTTTACATTTTAAATGTAAAAGTCGATTGCTACAATGGAAAGATGAAGTGATGGTTTTGCAAAAAGGATGGCGGTTAATGTTTGCAATCATTAGCATTACTTGTTCCTTGCCTCTTTTTTTGTCAAATTGTATATTTCTTAAGAAAGTTTGAATCTGAAGGTTGATTTTTTTTTATTACATGTTTTAATTTGAGAGATTTGTTTTTCCACACATACAAATATATATATTTTTTTTAAAACAGAACACCTAGGTTGCTAATCAGAAGAGGAAAGAAAGGCCACCTTGAAGCTACTTCCTGGCTCCCTAGACGACAGCTCAGACCGTCTGTGTTTTCCTGACCTCCGTTAATTGGTCTGACTCTGGACATTTCTGAACCATATGACAAAGCATGCTTCGTTAGGCAGCCACAGTGTTTGTTGAGCCCGCGTCAAACTGTTCCTTTCTCGGCTGAGCTAGCAGAGTCTGTGTAGCGTGACTGTGATAATGATCACCATTAATTCAGGATGTAGCCCAAAGCAGAGGAGCAGATGCAGCAGACAGAGAATTAGGGCATTTCCATGTCTAAAATAGTGTTCTTCTCTTCCTGCCTACTGAACATTTGCTCCTTTGACTGATTAGTTCTCTTTTTTTTAATCTCATTTTCATCTATCCCTTATTTTATCTACAGTATCTCATAAACAACATTCTCCTCATACCAGAAAGTTTCAGTGTAATCAGTTTAATTTACTCCTGATTTCGCATACTGTAAAATGTTCATATGAGATATTTAGGGAAACACTGACATCATGTGTTGTGACGGGGACTAGCACTCTCTGCTGACCCCAAGTTACCTCATCACAACTCCTCTTTTTTAAGGATTATTTTTTGGCTTCTCATGCCTTTAGGTTTTTTTTTTTTTTTTGTTAAGATTTATTTTTGGGTGAGGCTTTTTTGCCTTTAATGGAGCGATAAGACAGTGGATAGAGTCAGAAATCAGGGAGAGAGAGAGTGGGGAATGACATGTGGGAAGGGAGCCACAGGTGGGATTTGAACCTGGGCCGCCCGCTTGGAATACTAGAGCCTCTGTACATTGGGAGTGTGCACTAACCACTGCACCACCAGTGCCCCATGCCTTTAGTTTTAGACACAGGACAGTGGATAAAGTCAGAAATCGGAGCGAAAGAGAGTGAGGAACGACATGCAGGTAAGAAGACACAGGTCACATTTGGACCCGGGCCGCCTCTGTACGTTGGGCGTGCGCACTAACCGCTAGGCTACAGGCACCCCGTCATAACTATTTTTAATGATAATATTAGGATGTTCCAAAAAAAAGCCATGAAACGTACCGTCCATGTTGTCAAACAGTGTTGTGTGTTTGACAAACGCCACATCCCCGAGGTTCTCTGCCACACACCTGAAAGAAAAAACAACCACAACAAAAAAATGAATGAAAGAAAAACACACATTTAAACTGATGAAAAAAGTCAAACTAATCATAATGGAAATGGTTACCTCAGCGCCCCGGCCTCCCCGAAGTGCCTCTCTCTGTGGTTGCTGGCACAAATGTGTCTGTCGTTGTCGTCGCCTATGCACGCCTCGCACAGGTTCTTGGGGTTGTTGCCTTTGGGGTCGTGCTGGTGGTCCTTCACACCGGGCACACAGCTGTAACCGAAGAAGTTCCCCACAGCTGACGGGACGACAGAGAATGAATTAGAGGAAGAACGGAAACAGCTAAAGGAAGATCTTTGATTTTTGATGCAATCTGGTTCTCTACAGTCACCTTTAACCAACCCCTTGAGTTATAATAAAAGGTATTCAGCCTATCGGAGACGAGTTTCCTAAAGAAGGGGACGGACCCTTTAAGATGAAATGAGTCAATTATTTTATTAGGTAGTATGTTGGACATTTAAACACACAAGTAATTTGTAGGCTAATTCTAAACTACTAATAGCTTCAGAGAAAGACAAAAATAATTATTTGGAACCTTGAACCGGAACTGGTTGCAGCTGTGGTCTATATTGAGGAATGTGTGTCTTCAATGTGTATCAGGTATTGGATTGTTTTTACTTTGTTCTATTTTGTAATATTAGTGCTCTCTGTGGTGTTGTCTGATATGTCTAGAATGTCCCGGCTTCCTGCTACTGAATGAAGGATTCATAGACATTCAGACATCTCTTTGTGGGATCCATGAAATCTAGGTTTTCATGAAGCAGCTGTGACTCAGGTGCTGGAGTCGGTCCTCTCTAAACGTGAAGGTCGGGGGTTGGATCCCTGAGCTCCTGCATCCCCACATGTTCTTTGGCGAGACACTTAACCATAAGTTGATCCTGCTGCTTCGTAGGTGGTGTATAAATGTGTATGAATGGGATTAGTCCCTTTAGCAGCCTCTGCCGTCGGTGTGTGAATGTGGAGGTGTGACCTGCGGTGTAAAAGTGCTTTGAGTAGTCAGAAGACTGGAAAAGTGATGTACTATACAAGCTCAGGTCCATTTACTGAAAATTCCTCTCGTATACATGGTCTTCATTTTCAAATCAAAACAAATTAAATAAGAATAATTCTAAAATGAGTGAACAGCACATCTTAAAAAACTGAGCAGAAATTCAGACAATTGAAACAATTCTACATTTTCTCTTTTCTTATTGTCATCAATTAAAATGTGGGTATTAGACATGTGATACTAAGAAAGTTTTGGTTAATTTAGCTTTTTTTGGATTTTTGACAAAAGGAGAAATTGGATAAATATCTGCAGCCTTGTTTCCTCTTAGAAATTACTCTCGATGTGTTCATTTGTTCTTTGTTACACTCACACACACACTCCTGCAAATCTCACCTTCAAAGATAATTTGGCCCTGTTCTGTTCTCTTCGCTGCTTTTTGCTTTTCTTATCTGGAGTCTCCTCCATCTCTTCACTCTTCATTCCACTTCACTGCTTCCCCACATCTGAACCTTTCAGATAGCTCCCACCCCCTGACACACACACACACACACACACACACACACACACACACACCAAACCTGCTCCGTCTCACCTTTGGGGAAGTTGCACTGCTCCCCTACACTGATCTGGGAGGTGTTCACCAGGTAGCCAATAGGAACAGTCCATCCCACCGTGGTGCGCATACCAGGGTGACAAGAGCTGCGTTCATGCATCTCCAGCAGGGACAGATCTGAGGAGGAGCGACGCGCCATAGCCACCACGTAGTAGCTGATACCATCTGGAGAAAAAGAAACTCTGATCAGGCTATGAGGGATTTATACAAGATGATAAAAAAAAAAAACAATATGATAATGAAAAATAAAGTACACTGAACAACTACCACAGTGTGTCTACTATCGCTATTTTTCTGTAAGATAAGTTGTATTTTACACATTTTTGTCTGATAACTATTGACTTACATTCTTGGCTACAATATCTTGCATTGTCCCCTATCTTATAGAGAGGGTTTGGGTTAAAATATTTCAATAACAACATCTTATTTTCAAGTCTTAAACCTAGTTTGGACAGGGACAATCAAACTATGCAGCTCTCAGCATGATACAACTAAAATACACTGCACACCACAGTATACCAAAACACACGTTCAATACACCAGTGCATTTTTTTTGTACATGTTACCCTGTACTTCTGAACAGCACTTTTTTAGGATTTTACAGAGTTGACAGCCCTCTATGAGGCCAAGCTGAGTTTCCAAATAAAGATCATGGTGTGAAGTTTTTGTTATTTTAACACATTCACCATGTTCCTGTTGCTCTGAGTTATTTAGGCTGCAGAGGCTTCAGTGTCTTCTTCTTGTTTATTTATCCCGGCTGCAAGTCTCAAACCTGTGACCTACCCACTCTGTTGTAGGACTCCCCTGCCGACAGCTCCAGGCCGTGGCAGAGACCCGCAGCGTAGATGTCATCTGCAGACATGGAGGCTGCATCTGCTGTCCCATTCTGACAGAAAAAAAAAACATTGACTGTATGTCAGAAGGCTTGTCTATATTTGCCACACACACTGAGGGTGAAGCTTTTCTTATTCATGCCATGCTTCTGGAAATATAGCTAAAAAAATAAATAAATTACAAGACCTTGACAACAGAGGTTAATGATCGTATTTCTGTCCACACTACCAACAATGTTCTCTTTCTGTGACATTTAAATAATAGATTTATTTATTAGTTTATTTGACATGGACATACAGTAACAATGTTGATGTACCATTTAACCATTTACAAGTGTCAGATGCACTGCTGTTAGTGTTTAAAGCAAAATGTGAATTTGCAACACCTGTCCACGGGAGGCTTTTAAGAATAACAGATAAAAATAAAGAAAAATAAAACAGAGAATAAAATCAAAACTGTTCAGTCATTAATGCAAAAACGGATAAAATACAATTACAAAAAGAAGGCAGGGAACTTCAACATGCAGGAACAATGTTGTTTCTCATTCAGCTGTGATTTAATACCTAACACTGTGTTGCATTTTCAGTTCAGTGGGTCGACTCCTCCAGAGTTTAGCTCCTACAACAAAGAAGGCTGATTGTCCAAAGGAGGTTTTGCACATAAAGGAATACGACACTGAAGCCTGTGTGTTGACTCTACTAATCCTGAAGTCTTGAAACAAATTCATCAAACAGATGTAGATGTAAACAGTCACTGATGAAACAGGTACCTTTATTTTGTCCATACAGTCTCTGGTGTTCAGGCCTCGGACACATTGCAAAGTCCCTCTAATATTCCGAGCTGAGGCGTTCCCGGCCAAATCCAGACACTTCTGCTCTTCAGCGTCAGACAGTACACACCAGGAGACTGAACAAACCAGCAGGGGGGGAAATTATGTCAAACATTAAATGCCAATTCACCTGCTGAAAAGACCTGCAAATGTTTCACAAGTACCACCCAAAATCAAATGTTTAAAAACATTACTTGAAGCATGCATTTTAGCAAGATTCTCTTCATCATCTAATTGTACTAACAAGGATCTCAAATGGACAACTTTTTGTTTGTACCTGTAGTTTTTGGATTGTGAACACAGCGGACAGACAGAAGATGCAGGAGGAGGAGGAGGAAAGCTGCAGGCAGTCTTCTCTCTAGATGCTCCATGTCGGCTCTGGTAGGAAAAACCCGCTTGGGAAAGTCTCTCTAACACAACAAAGATGGAGAGCAGGTGGATTTACTTGGAGGGGGAAAAAAGGTCACTGTGCTACCCTCCCTCTCTTATAACCTAGACCTGAGAGAGAGAGAGGGAGGGAGAGGGAGAGGAAGCCGGGGGGGAAGGGTAAAAGGTGGGAGAATGAGACAAGTAGGCTGGATGTAGAAAGAAAAAAAAAACACATTATTCCTTCATTCAGTTCAAGTCCTCTGTAGATAATCCTTCCTCCATCTCATGATAGCAGTATAGCGTTTCTCCCTCCAATTACCAGCTGAGACTGATCCCCTGGTGGAGAGAATAGAGGTAGACACATGCACACATGGGGGGCAGTTCAGGTCACCTGGCTCGGAGTGTCGACCCCGGGTCTTTAATTAAAAAAGCAGCGGACAATGTGTCTCTGTGCTGGAGCCGTGTTTGGGGAACAGATACCGGCGGAGTTCTGCTCCGACTCACTGGAGACTAAAGCCCCAGGTAAGCAAGAACAAACAGCGCTGACTATTATTCTCAGCCACGGGAGCCAGTGGAGGAGAATATATCTGCTACTTGATACAATTCTCCCTTTCCTCTCCTTCTGCACACACACACACACACACTCACAAACACACAGGTGACATTTTTTAAGCAACCACTGAGCCAACCATGGAAAACAGTCAGTTTGTTTAATGGGAGAATTGAAATGCATTCTTCTTTAATACCTTCTGTTATTTTCCAGTAGTGTCAGTGCAGGGAAGTCCGTTCTGCAGTGAAGAATAGAGTTCATTTATCATGCTGCTCAGCTCTTCCTGATGGTGATATTCAAATCCTAAATACAAAAATGTAAAAGTATATCTCCACATATAACTACGCAAATGTTAGACACTTTAAACAATTTCCCATGTTCATATTTACCTAAATTTACATTTCCCTGCTTATTAAAGAGATAAGACATACTGTTTGTTCTGCAAAGGATGATAAAACACTCACACATGTAGTGTTTTAAAGTGTTGTAGTCATACTTGTGTCTTTGAAATGCATATTAGTTTACCTAAAAGTTAATTTATGGATTATTATGGCAAGCTCTTTTAAAGCAAACATCCTCCTATCACTTATAATATTTTTTTAATATCCAGTATAACATTTCTCCTATTCAAAACTATATTTTCACTAGTATGAATTGCAATTGTTTGTGTATTCACACAAAACATTCTCACAATCCGCACTTGTAATTTCTCCTTGGACAAACGACCTTCCCTTTGTCATTCTGTCTATTTGGATTTCAATTTCAGATATCCACAGCGTCATTCTTTCTATCCACAATGAATATACAAGATATCAGTAATTGAGATGATGAGATGAGATGAGATTCAACTTTATTGTCATCACACATATACAAGTATAGAGTAACGAAATGAGATTTGGCATCTCACCAGAAGTGCAAATAAGCAGAAAGTGCAAGAGTCTGTGCTATGTACAGTAATTACAAAATTTACAGATGTAGACTAAAAAAAGTGAATTATTAGGTATATATGGATGGCTGGATTAATGGGATGCTATAAATATAAATAAATGCTATAAATATAAGTGTATTCTTAGGATTATAATACACAGATTAAGGTGCAGTGAGCATGCTATACTAGTTTACAGATAATATAAAGAATATGGACATATTGTACAGGTCGATAACTTATTGAGTGATAATTGAGTTCACTCTCGGAAAAACTCCCAATTTTTAAAAATCTACAATCTAATAGGAACCAGTTGTTACTTTAAATTAGGATATTCAACATTACACTGTGGATATCTGGATCTGAATGTTTAATTTTAGATGAAAACTGAATTTATCACATGTACCAATTGTGTTGAAGATATTTTTTGAAATGAGGAACAATTCTGTTGAAAATATCCCAAATGTTCATTCTGGTTAGTAAGGATGTCATGTGTGCACAGTTATATCTGTGATGAATACCTAATGTCGTTTTTAAAATGTTGGATCCACTTGTCATAAAGATTACAAACATAGACTACAGCTTTTCTTTTTATATCTATTTATATCTGCACATTATTTTTCTATGTAAATACTTTTTATCCTGCGCTGCAACGAGCCAAACGCAACGAAATGTCGTTTTTATCTGCACTGTAAAAGTTTGAATGACACTAAAGAAAGTCTAAGTCTAGTGTAAATACTAAGATTACAACCTGTTGGAGGACTCCTCCGCCCCACAATGCACCGCGATGATAATGTTTTGATGACGTCACGTCTGGCTGGAAGGTGGAAGACAGCCAGTGGGTGGGCTGGGCTGTGGTCGCTTTTACATCGCAAAAATCACGTTTTTGAGACCTCTTTTAACCTAAACAGGGAAAACGTCAGCGTCACAGAATGAGTTAGAGGCGTTACTCGGTGTGTGCCAGGTAGGTGAAGGTGTTTTATCGCTCTGTTTTGACAGTCTTCGCCTCTGCTTTGTTGTGGTGCAGCTAGCTTAGCATCGGGCGGCCGTCTGCCTGACTGGCGCCTCCGAGTCGCTTGTGGACGGGCAATAAAACCCGCTTGTTCATGGCCTGTTAGCAGCCACAGCAAACACACAGTCCTGCAACAGTCCTGCAACAGTCCTGCAGTCTGTGAGGTGAAGAACAAGCTTTGCCGAGAGCTTCTTAAATATAGGCTGTGACTTTGTAATGGGTTGTGGTAGCTCTCTAATGCAATCTGCGTTATTAGTTGTTGTTAATGCTGCACTTGATGTTTACCTCCAAACAAACAGCTCACACCTTTTTAAAATTATTATTAGTAGCTCAGATTAAACCAATGCAGAATAATTTAATGATTCTTTTCTTTTCTTTTTTTAACTGAGTTTTTATTCATTTTTCTCTTCAACAACAGTACAATATAAAAAAATATAATTTTTTTTTACTTAGTTTTTATTCATTTTCTCTTCAACAACAGTACAATATAAAAAAATATAATTTTTTTTACTTAGTTTTTATTCATTTTCTCTTCAACAACAGTACAATATAAAAAAATATAATTTTTTTTACTTAGTTTTTATTCATTTTCTCTTAAACAACAGTACAATATAAAACATTTTTTATTTTTACTTATTTTTTATTCATTTTTCTCATCAACAACAGTACAATATAAAAAATATTAATTTTTTATTTTTACTTATTTTTTATTCATTTTTCTCATCAACAACAGTACAATATAAAAAATATTTATTTTTTATTTTTACTTATTTTTTATTCATTTTTCTCATCAACAACAGCACAATATAAAAAAATATTTATTTTTTATTTTTACTTATTTTTTATTCATTTTTCTCATCAACAACAGCACAATATAAAAAAATATTTATTTTTTATTTTAACTTAGTTTTTATTCATTTTTCTTATCAACAACAGTACAATATAAAAAAATATTTCTTTTTTTTTTTCGTCTCCTTTTTCCAGCTGTATAGTTACATTCGGATATTAAGCCAGCAGAAATAGATTACAAAAGTAAAATACAAATCAAAATGTCCACTCCAAAGAACATACATATACACAATAATGCACACAAACAAACAAGTACATAAATAAGTGTTCATAAAAGTAGAGGAGAAATGAAAAATCATAAATAAAAGTTGTAATCATAAAGAAATAAATTCTAATCCACTCAAAGAAATCACGTGTGAAGTCAACCCAAAGGGAAAAATGGTGCATGATCTTGGTCTGCGCCCCAAATTAAACATTTATTTTTTATTTATTTTATAATTTTTTATTTTATTTATTAGCACACATAAGAATACATCGAAATAGGATTAACAAAAACATAAAAGTTGTGTCAGGAGAGGTCAAGAAGCCAACAGGCTTATACAAGGGACCTCACCTCTTAAGAGACAAATAAATCAACTAAACAAATCGAATTACACAATTTCATCACTCTCTATTGCATTAGTAAAGCCAGTACAGGTCTCCATCTTGTTGTGAACATTTCTTTTTGGAGTCTTAATTGGTATGTAATTTGCTCCATTTAGTAAATGTCCCAAACTTTCTGGATCCATATATTGTAAGTGGAAGGGTCTGGTTTCAACCAGCGTATGGTGATGCACTTCAGGGCCGCTGTGAATAAGATATTAAACAAGTACTTTTTGGCCCTGACTGTTTACTCTTTTAACTTGATGTTTAATCAAAGTGTAGGTCTTTTGAAGTGGCCTTGGTTTACTCGTTAATAGATACAAGATAAACAGAGAAGTCTTTGAACTCCCCATCTGACTAAAGCCCTCGCAGGCTCCTTGTAAAAACACTGAGAAGGTAAATATAATTATCCTGTTTGCAAGCGTGTCTTCTCATTTGATCTCTCCCCTCCCTCCTCCTCTCCTCTGTCAGTGCACTGAAACATGGATAGATGCAGCGTCCACGTCCTCCTGCTGCTCCTGCTGCAGACCCTGCAGACATGTGCGGAGGGCTCAGGTACTGTGCTCACTGTCTTCCACTTTCATGTTTTCAGACTGTGATGGCTCACCTCTTCTGTTCTTCTTCTTCTAAAACCACCATGAGCAGCACATATGGCTGGCAGCTGTTAATATTGATAATAACTTGTTAATAAGGGGAGCCGTTATCAGTCTTTTTCATGCTTTTTATGAATCTGCAGCCCTTGTGTGTGTTTGAACTGTTATTCTCAAAGGTTTTAATCTGATGTAATTTGTCCTGGATTGTACCTTACATGCATTTTGCTTTTGATTAAACCATCACATCTATTTGCACATATATTTTTTATCCCTGCACGGGTTATGTCGGGCGTCGGTTTTGTGGTTTCATTTGTAACTAATTTGTCATGTACGTCTTTGTAACCTGCTACTGGATACTTTGAATTTCCCTCGGGATCAATAAAGTATCTATCTATCTATCTATCTATCTATCTATCTATCTATCTATCTATCTATCTATAGTAAAACATGTTAATGGACCCCCCTTTATTTTTACTCCATGCCTTTTTACATTTATGTTTTTAAATGTGGTCTTTATAGCTAACAACCAAATTTTTTTGGTTCAGGTCACCTGAATTTTTTTTAATGTCAACAGGTGGTGCCATTGAATAGACAATATGGATCAAATGAATTAATCAGATAGTGTAAAACAAGGTAACTGCGGTGCTCGGTCTGGCTTGGTGATGCTGTGTGTTTGGTTTTAAGTTTTGATATCAATGATTCAAACAAAACTTCACTGCATAAAAAAACTCTACAATGAAAATACAGCCGATGTCATCTGATGACATCTGGGGAGAAAGTTGGCGAAACAGAATCCATTCCATCGGCCTGCTGCTTTTAATAAATGATCGTGTGTATGTTGAACTCCTCCTGTCATCTTTTCCGCAGGTGGACATTTATTGTGTCTGTGTGACACCCCTAAATGCCAGGACACCCAGTGCCATGGCTCGAGCTGCTTCTCCTCCGTCAAAGTCACGAGCGGCGGGGTGGAGTTTGAGCGCGGCTGCCTGGAGGGGCCGGAGAAAATCCGTTTGCATTGCTCCACCGCACCGTCCTTCCACCAAGCCATCCTCTGCTGTTACAAAGACGTATGCAACAGCAACACAAGCAGCAGCTCACTGATGTCTCACCTTCTCACAGGTGACTATTAAATGATAACAAGCTTAACTTATGCAAGGAAGTGAATTGTCCAAAAGAATAATCATGTCATCAGACAAAAGAATAGATTTTACACCATCTAATTTCTTCACTGCATGCTTGTTTTGTCTACTGTCCGTGCTCACAGTCCCAGAAGGAGAGCCAGTTCGGTATCGTGTGGAAACCTTAGCCCTCTTCGTGCTGGGTCCGGTGGTGGTTCTTGGTTTGCTGTCTGTAGTGTCAGTTTTGGCCTGCAGGAGGCTTCACCACGGCCGCCTGCAGAGGCTGCAGGAGTTCGATACAGAGCAGGGAGCCGTAGACGGCCTCATAAGCTCCAACGTGGGAGACAGCACTTTAGCGGTAAGAATCCAGACTCCCAGCAGAGTAAACAGAGATGTCCTCTCACTTGTTCTGATCACTCCCAACTTCAACAGTGTTTTTATCTGCACTAGTAGTCAGTGAATGCTGATATTTGTTTCCAGTAGCTTTGTTCAAGCTAGCATTATGTGTTTACATCATCTCCCTTAAAGATTCTGACACAAGCAGCTCATCTGATATCTGTGTCTGTCTTTAGGACCTGTTGGACCACTCATGTACATCAGGCAGCGGTTCAGGTCTTCCCTTCCTTGTGCAGAGAACAGTGGCCAGACAGATCAGTCTGATGGAGTGTGTAGGTAGGTACAACACACCACCGTCCACACAGGGCATGTGCACACTGGACTCACGTGTCTGACTCGTTTCATTATAGTAATAACATAAAATAAATGTATAACTAAATAATTCAAACAAGGGAGCTACAGTAAAGTCAAGTCACATTTATTTATAAAGCAGCAGCAGCTGACCAAAGTGCTGTACAATGCATCAAAGAAACACTTTACAGGGGATCACAACATGTACAATAAAACACAAAATAAACTACGATAGGATAAATAGGAGAGATAATGAAAGCAATAACTGGAATCTGAAAGAACCATCTATTCAGGACCAGAGGACTCAAATGCTAAAATATAACAATCTGTCTTTAGAAGGGACTTTGTTAAAGGTTATTGTTGTTGAAGAGAAAGCAATCCGTCATGAGGACTCAAAGTGATCAATACAGATCTTTGCACAGTGATGTCACAAAGGTGATGTGAGGGCGACAGGAACAGGAAGTCAGATCATTTTGACTTCTTAAAATCAATCTGATGTAAGGTTTACTCATCGTCATGACAACTCTTAACACTTTTGAGGGTTGGAATAGAAATATGTCGGTAGGAAGCCTTGGGATCCTGTTCGGTACAACACCATACTGTTCAGTTTCTTCCACCAGTTCAGAAATGGAAACACGTGGCTCTGTGCCTTGTTTTGCTGTAGACATGGAAACATCTGATCCATGTCAGATGGGAATCAAACTCAAGAGATCGTTTAGTTTCAGGGATTGTAGCCATGAAATAAGATAATAAAAGAACAACAGGAAGAAGTTTTCAAATTTTAAAACATGGGACTTATGTCTGTTTCTTCCATTCTCTTTCTTCCTGTTGAATTGTGTCTGACGTTCTCCTTCTTTCAGGTAAGGGGAGGTATGGAGAGGTGTGGAGGGGGCAGTGGCAGGGAGAGAACGTGGCTGTAAAAATCTTCTCCTCAAGAGATGAGAAATCCTGGTTTAGAGAAACAGAGATCTACAACACAGTGCTGCTAAGACATGAAAACATACTCGGTGAGTGTGGAGAAAAAAACCCTCTTAATTTCAAACTGACATATCTACCGTTCTAACGTCTTAATTGTTTGTTTACCATGAACATAACTGTGATACTGACATGTTGTCCTCCGTCTCTCCTCCCCTCAGGCTTCATGGCGTCCGACATGACTTCTCGCAACTCCAGCACCCAGCTGTGGCTCATTACCCATTACCACGAGAACGGCTCTCTCTATGACTACCTGCAGCGGGTTGCCGTGGAGACGTCAGAGGGCTTGGCGATGGCTGCGTCGATAGCGTGCGGCCTGGTGCATCTGCACACGGAGATCTTCGGCACAGAGGGAAAACCGGCCATCGCACACCGGGACCTGAAGAGCAAAAACATCCTGGTCACAAAGGAGCTGCGCTGCTGCATCGCAGACCTGGGTCAGTCATCCACTTCTTCTGATCGCTAGATGGTAGACTCTTAGATGGATCAAAGGATTTTATATAAACGTTTTACAAGCTGATTTTGTATATTTTAATTTTTTTGCAGTCTTGTTTTATTGGTATTTTCTGTTCATGCACTACCTACCTTTTTATTCAGGTGTTTATGTCCTAAACTGCTGGGTTATCTTTTTTAATTTTTTATTTCCACCGATATATTCAATTTCCCTTGACATGTTGCAGGGCTGGCTGTGACCCACTCGCAGGCAGACAACCAGCTGGATGTGGGCAACAATCCAAAGGTTGGCACAAAGCGTTACATGGCGCCAGAAGTGCTGGACGAGAGCATTCAGATAGACTGCTTCGATGCATACAAGCGGGTGGACATCTGGGCCTTTGGGCTGGTGCTTTGGGAGATAGCAAGACGCACCTACAGCAACGGTGAGCTTCATTCATCTGGTGTATTTTTAAAGGCCGTGACTTCATGAACAACAGGTCTGTGGTTCAAATAGACTTTGGGTCATGTTGTTAGAAGAGAGACCCTCGTTTAACAAAAGTGTATCCTCTTGTTCCGGTTGTTTGTGTTCATTTCTTGTTTCACTTTCAGGCATTGTTGAGGAGTACAAGCCTCCGTTCTACGATCAGGTGCCGAACGATCCGAGCTTTGAGGACATGAGGAAAGTCGTGTGTGTGGAGCAGCAGAGGCCTTTCATTCCTAATCGATGGTTCTCTGATCCTGTGAGTATTTGTTTTACACTCAGAGTTGAATCTAGTTCAAACAAAAATGGTTTTAAACATTGACTTGGACACCAACAAAGTTTTTATATGTTTAAGGACTTAGTAGTGATAAATGACAGATAGATACCTAGAGTGGGCGCCTGTTTTAATGTCAGACTGTTTAACAAAAAAGCAGTAATTAAGCTTTGGGGACAATAAGTCTCCAGATAAACCTTACTGTGACTGGAAAGAATGGAGAAAAAATGTTTCTACCTGCAAATTTTAAAGGAAAAATATGTGGTAATATGGTGGTTGAAGCTGTAGTTACAAGACTATTATCTAGACAAGCGAGGAAGTAGCATTTCAGAAATATCTGTCTATTCTGTCTTGGCTAAATTGCATGTAATGTTAACTTAAGGAGGGATGCACGATGGCGCAGTGGTTAGCGCTGCTGCCTCACATCGAGGAGGTTCCTGGTTGGAATCCCTGTCGTGTCAGGGCCTGTCTCTGTGGCGTTTGCATGTTCTCTCCGGCTCCTCCGGCTCGTTAGGTTTCATTGGTGACTCTAAATTGCCCGTAGCTGTGAATGTGAGTGTAGCTGGTTGTCTGTCTCAGCCCTGTGATTGGACAGTCCAGGGCGTACTCTGCTCCAAGCCCCCGTGACCCCGAACGGGAGAAAGCGTTAAATATAATGGATGGTCGGGGCGTGCTGGTGGCGCAATGGTTGGGGCGCGCGTCCCATGTATTGAGACTCTCATCTCGAGCGGTAGGCCCGGGTTCGTTTCCACCCGTGGCCCCTTCCCGCATGTCATTCCCCGCTCTCTCTCCCTGGTTTCCGACTCTATCCACTGTCCTCTCTCTGCATTAAAGGCAAGAAAAGCCCAAAATAAATCTTAAAAAAAAAGAAAAAAAGATATTGGATGGTGAACTTTGGAAGGCATCATGACCACTTACTCTTTGAGCCTGGTGTGATGTTCGCCTCCTGGATATTTACAGCTGGGACCTTGAAATGCTTAACACGGCGAGCGAGCTTACAGTGGTGATAGCACGTGCCTTGTTATTACCCAGAATGCCTTGGCGCATTCAGAAACTTGACAGTAATTGACACATTATCGCATCTCTCCTTTCTCTCTCAGACTCTCTCGGCTCTGGTGAAACTGATGAAGGAGTGTTGGTACCAGAACCCGTCTGCCAGGCTTACAGCCCTACGCATCAAGAAAACCCTGGACAAGATCCACAGCTCTCTGGAGAAAGGAAAGGAGTCGTGAGAGGAGCCTCAGAGGCAGCAGCCTGAAGTCAGAGATCAGCTTAGTAACGGCTTCCTTTTTTTTTTTTTTTTAGTTTAACAAGGTCGATAAAGGGAACGGACAGAGGAGAGAGTTTAAGGTATCATCCAGCCTCATCGTCTTTGCTCCCTCGTGTTTCCTGTGGTCGTCTTCCACCGACGCCCTTCTTCCTCTCTGACTTCAAACCAACGCAGACGTTTTGGATCTGTTGTCGTCTGAATATGCCAGCCTTTGCTACAGGACTCAAACCCAATGTGCTCGCACTGACCAGAACTGTAGACTGTTACTAAGTGTGAACAACCGCGGATGGCATATTGTAGTGCTCCATCCTAATGCTTTAACGCCCACTGTTGACTGCTCTCACACACACACACACAACACTACATACTATCACAGATCAGTTACTGATCCCCAGCCGATGTTTGCAGCATCGAGGCTGCAGCTTTTATTCTCAAAGACAATCAAACAAACTTTGTAATCATTGAACTTTATCTGAACACGCCGACTCTTTAACTAAACACTCACACGAGTAAAACCACACTCAAATGTTCACTTCCAAAAGGAAAAGAGCCAAAAGAATCAAAGCTGTTTTTAACACTTTTAAATAATATTTATGTATTAAATCCAATGCTACCACACTACTGAGGATGTGCAAGACTGATGTGTGCGATGACGCGTGACCCCCCCCCCGACTGTATAACGATATGTAGGCATTTACTGTACTTTCTGTTCCCCTATTTGTCTTTGTTGGCGCTAGTAGGAAATGCTTTGATGTGGAAAGCAGCAAATTTAATAGAAAGAAAATATGCGAACCTGCCACTAAAGGTTAGTCTGTATCTTATAATAAGAACGAGTATGAAATGGACTGATCCTCTCTGCCTGCCACACTTCATACCGTCACTGTGGCTCGTTTGAATTAAGTCTTCTGTGCAGGCAGGGAGGAGTTGAGGGAGGCTTGTTTGTGGCAGAGCGGACATTTTTTTGAATTTTTTTTTAGACACGTTTTCTAAAGCGAGTGGGGCCTCCCATGTAACGTCTCTCGTCTCCCATAATGCCAGTCTGTACAAGCTGCCTGAATAACAAACAAAACAAACACTCCCATCATCCGTCTTTTATTCAAGATTCAACAATCAAAGTCGCCTACTAATGAGTTTGTTCACAAATGCTGGGTTTTATTTTGGAAGGAAAATGTATCTGTCTTTTTTTATATGTAATAAAAACATGTACTTGACTCTTTGCCTTATGATTAGTCAGCCTCTGTTAAGAGTTTAGGAAATATGTGCTTTCAGCTGCAGAAGTCTACGGTCACCTAGTTCAGTCTGATGCAGTTTAAAACAATGGACCTGAAATAAATCCTACATTTTTAAAAAGTGTATTCTTCTTGGGTGTTGATTTGATAAGTGAGCAGAAAGGTGTTTAAATTCATTTCATTCACAAATTAGGATTAGACCCTCCCCTCAGATTAATTTAATCAATTTAACATCACAACAAAGTACATCTTTTAAAATATGATAAATGTTCAGTTCAATTAAAAACTCTCTGGAAAAGTTTCAATAAAAGGAGAACATTTCAACTTCCATGAAGGTCACATTTATCACTGGACTTTTGTATTATGCTGCATTCAGGTGCTCCTTCGGATGATCCGAGTTTCTGAGTTGGAAAGTCGTTCTTCTGACTTCGATGTGTTCACGTTATGTTATAACAACAACAACATACATCGTGGATTCTACAAAGACTGTGAATGTCTCTGTTACAGGTATATTTGAGCAAAACATTGATGTGCAATACGTGAATTCATAAAAAGTATCTGAACATTAATGAAACAGCTTTTGTCCCCCACGTTGATGACAAATCAAGTCAGTACTTAATTCTTCCCAGAGTTTCCGACTTGTTGGTCCGACTTGAGCCGTCATTTTTCAACTTGGAAACTCGTTTTTCTGATGTATCCGGCATCACATGAACGCAGCGTTAGACCTCATATGTTCATGATGCATGAGCTTGAAAAAATAGATAATGAGTGAAATTCTGTTAACAAGTTAAAGTTACAGGTTCCTGTGAATCTTTAAACACATAGTAAGGGGCTCATATGGTCACTGACAGTTTTTCTAGTTGAAAGCGTTTTCTATTTCACTGTTCACACTGACTTTTGTTTTACAACAGGCTTATGTTTTTTTATGATATTTAGTGAAGATTAAATTTGCTGGTAGAACTCAACCATTTTATAAAACAACCACAGGTATATAGAGCAGTTACAGATGGAGCAGGTCTAAACTGTACACCTCAGAAAACACACATAACGTACAGTAAATTAAACATATACTGTGCTCTCAATTTCTTATTTCCTTTCTGCCCCCTAGTGGCTGCCATGAAGAGTGTCAACAACTCATTCACTCATACTCCGTTCCTTTTTATGGAGAAGTACTCTCTGTGGTTTTCATTTCTTACACAAGTGACTATAATTTAAAATCTAAACAAAAACATGATATTTTATAGACATTGGAGTGGTTCAGACTAAGGCTACTCTTACAGTGAGTAGCTGAGGTAGTTGATAAGATTAAGTTTTATTTTACAGTGTTGAATACATGCTGAGTAAACATGTATTCTCTCAGAGTTCTAGCTGGCTGGATTGATGACATTTGTTGTGCAAAACCTACAGCTCTGCTCCAAATTGTGTTTAAATTGTACCACGAGGTGACCACAAAAACCACTGACCTCCTTCCTGAGCTGTGTAGAATTCACCAACTTCCCCTCAGCTCTGAGACGCTCAGGGGTCATATTATGTTATCTGGTAAAGTCTTGTACGGGTTGAGGATGCCTTTGGGGTCCAGCATGGTCTTAATGTTACTCATCAGAGCCACAGCCTGGCTGGGTTTGCTGTAGTAAATGTAGTTCCTCTTCTTCAGGCCCAGTCCATGTTCTGCACTGATGCTGCCCTGACAGCTCGCCGTCCACTCGTACACAAAGGGCTCGATGGCGGCGAGGAGAGCCGGGTCTCTGGCAGGAGAAGTGATGTTCAAGTGGAGGTTTCCATCTCCTAAGGGTGTCGATAGAAATAGATGAAGGTAATTATTTCTGATTTTATCGAAGTATATACGCTCTAATATCCAGACTCTTTTCACTTCTTCACATCTTCTGATCTCGTCTTACCTACATGACCGTATCCCACCACACTTTTGGCCCGGTCCCCCAGGTGCTCCCTCATGTCCGTCACCAGCTGGTAAAGTCGCTCCAACGGCAGCGAGATGTCATACTTGTAAGTGAAGCCATCGTGAGTGAGCGCCTCGGTGACACGCTCACGCATCGACCACAAAGCCTGAGGAAAGGAAAATTGATTGCATGATCATCATTCGCATTCCAAAGCCGAGTTTTTAAACTTAACGACACACGGCGGCAGCTCGTCTCTAGCAACAAAGAGGCATTCATTAAGAGATCCACTCTTAAGAAAAAAAAAAGATTTAGGTCAAAAAGTCATACTCTTTATCATTGTTATTGTCAAGAATCCCTACATCACTTAACTACTGGATAGTCTAGAATGAAGAAGACTAGACATTACTCAAACATGATTAAATATTGTGTGTTGGGCACTATTTTAAACCTCGTGTTTAGTGCTGCAGAGGTTTGAGCAGCAGGATTGTGAAAGTGGCAGTGACTAAAAATGTCAACCAGTGTGGCTCACTGACGTCTTTCAAATAATTCTTGAACATGCAGAGTCCATAAAATAAAGAGGAAGAAGATGTATTAGAATGAATTTGGGGGGGGGGAGGAAATTCCACCTGTTACACAATTTGGTCTTGTGAAATTTGTGCGAAACGACACCTTGATTTTTGAGTCTTCAGTTGCCACGGTGCCATCAGTGACTAACGATGATGTCATCGCCTCGTCAAGGAAATTGTGCAGTTTCTCCCCGTCATGTGTTGCATCAGATCCCGACGTTTCTATGACCACGTAGAACGGACAATCTGCAAGACATTTTTAAAAAATGTAATTTAACCTTTATTTAACCAGGTAAGAAACTCTTCATTTTTTTAAGTGTCCTGGCCAAAACAGGACGCAGCACAATTTACAGTTTCACACAAACAACGAGCAGCCACACATACAACAACAAAAATCAAAACATAATTAGTAATTCAAAGAAACACATTTAAAAACAGCAAATGTTTGTTCAAGATCATCCACAAACACATCAGGGAGAAGATCTACAGCCAGATGTGTCTGCCTCCAAGTCCTTTAACATCCTCTTAAAATCATCCAATGAGAGCAGCTCGTTAGGTCTCAGCTCAAATTAAAGGAGCAGCAAACTTAAATGGCTTTTATTTGTGTGTGTGTGTGTGTGTGTGTGTGTGTGTGTGTGTGTGTGGGCACCTACCAGAAATCGGATTGGGTAGTTTGAGGTGCGTATTTAGCAGCCTCATACATTCACTGTCCAGAAATTCATAGGCTGACAGAATTTCTCCCAGCATGCCTCTGCAGAGCTGAAATGTCTTTAGTAGCTGCTCAAATGTCTCACAGCCTGCGAAGAATCAACAAGAATCAAATACCACATCCATTAGTATACAAACACAAACGATTAACTGATCGATGTCAGCTTGTGTTTGCAATAAAACGTGTCATAATTACAGAAGTGGTAACAGGGGGAAGAGATGAGAAATCGTACCCAGAAAAACCACGTTCACAGATTTTGGTTTCCGTGGACAGAGGATGGACACAGCTGTGATAACCCCCAGAGTTCCCTCTGACCCTATGAAGAGCTGTTTGAGGTCATATCCTGTGTTGTCTTTTCGCAATGTGGCCAAGCAGTCCAACGCTCGCCCATCTGCCAAAACCTGAACAAGCCACGATACAACGTCATTATTTGATCTCTTGTAATCATTCGTCAGGGATTTCAATACTTATGACTCTTCACTCGACTCACCACTTCCAGACCCAGCACAGTCCCGTGTAAGGAGCCGTACCGCAGCAGCCGGAGTCCTCCTGCATTGGTTGCCACGTTTCCTCCGATGTGGCAACTACCTTTCGCTCCGAGATCCAGAGGCATAATGAAGTCTCTGTCGTCCAGGTAGAGGGACAAGCTCTCCAGGACACAGCCAGCCTGACACGTCAGAATGCCTGAAGAATGAAAACAACAACCTCTAAAATTGAAGTGTACAAAAACCCTTATTTGGGGTAAAACCTCATGAGTTTAAGACTTACCCGAGATGCCATCAAAGGTCAGGATCTTGTTCATAAGAGCGGTGGAGAGGATGATCTCATCATAAACTGGCACGCTGCCCCCAACCAGCCCAGTGTTTCCCCCCTGAGGGTTCACTGCCAGATTTTGACTGTTACAGTACCTACATGAGAGGAAATGCAGCATCTTTAACAATCTAATAAATCCCTCATTTGCATATTTTTTTCTTCCGCTCACTGATATATCTTTACCTTAGAATTTGAGAAACTTCCTCTGTTGTTTGAGGTCGCAGCAGCAATTCACCGGAACCTACACAACAATGAAGAATGACAGACATAACCTGTTGAAAATAAATTGTATTTTCAAATGGAATAAGATGAATTTATTTTCTAGCCATCACCTCTCACTGTCTTCAGCCAATCCACATTGCTGGACTCAAGCAGGTCTGGGTCGGTGATGGCTCTGCCTGGTAGGATCTCTCTGAAGAAGGCCAAATCTTCTGAAGTAATTCTGGAGAAAGGAAGTCTGTCAGGGGCCGCAGCGGGGGAGGGGTTGGGCCCGTCTGTCCCAGCATGCAGCTTTCGACAGCACGCTCCTGACAGCCATGAGGTGGTGGGAAGAAACTGTCTGTTGAAGCCAACAGGTGGGTGTTTGATTGTTGCTGAAGATGAGACGGCGGTGTGGAGGTTTAGACGTCTGAGAGCCTTTCTCAGTCGGAGGGCTCTTTGGAACATCGTCGCTATCACTGGAGATATCGTATACTGTAGTGGCAGAACAAACTGCAAGAAAGACGAGGAATGAAAAATACATTTGATTCCATAAAACATAAGCTGTTAACCATCTCAGTAAGCCTACATCCTGATTTTATACCTGTGATATGTGGTTAGGGTAAGGAGTATTGAACAGCTGGTTAAATTACAACATAACTACCTATCGAATGAATGACTATTTTATTTTTGAGTCAAGTCATTTACAAGACCGATCCTACATGGAATTACTCTGACACATTATCAATCAAATGATCCAGCATGCACCATTAACATGAAACATCCCCGAAGATAAAAACCAATACCAACACAGCCCCCGCAACACAAGGCGCAATACACCAATCCAAACAAAACAAAATAGATAAATCGACTTCATCTTCGCTTTTCACTTCCAAACAGTTTACATATAATCCATAAGAACTATAAATCTGTCAGTATAACCAGGCAGGGCTGGGCAATTAATGAAGTGTCAATTTCAATCACGATTTTGGCTTCCCGCGATCATGAAAACAAGAGAATCGAGATTAAACAATTACTGTGCAACATGCTGTGTTGCGTTGTTTTGCCCATAGGTTTCATCATGTTTGGTAAAGTGTTCGCAACACTACCTCAATAACATAATACTTATGATTAAATATATCATGATCATGCTTCCTTTTCTCTACGGTTTATGTCTATTTATTTATTCTCTCCTTATTGTTTTCTCTGTTTTTCTCCCTATCTTAATTGTTTTCCTTTCAAAAGCCTCCTGTGGACAGGTGTTGAGAACTAGCATGCTTTCATTAAACAATTTTAATAAGATCTTAAATTTTAACTCTGCACTGTAACTTTTAACTCTTTTTATATTTTTACTTTATTTATTTCAATTAATTTAATTTGAATTATTTTTATTTTTATTTGTTCAGATTTAATAATTCCAGTGATTTTTTTTTGTTCTATTTTAATGTTTCTTTTCTTTCCTCTGTCATGATGCTTTTTGATGTCTTGTGTGAAGCACTTTGAATTGCCTTGTTGTTGAAATGTGCTGTATAAATAAACTTGCCTTGCCTTGTTAAAACACTTAAACAATGCATCTGGTTCGTCCAATGTATCTGTGATGTCCATGCCAAATAAAATCTATTATTATTATATATTTTTATATAAATACTATAAATATAAGTATTTTTCTCACTAATTTATTTATATTTATTGCTTGCTTTGTGGGTGTTTAGGTTCGATAAATATGTTATTAAGATGTTGGAAAATAAATGAGTAATCATGTTTAATAATCTTGATCTCAATGTCAATTAAAATGATGTCTTAGCACTAACTTTTTCCTCTCATTATTATGCAGTGGAAAACTGTTTCTATGTGATTTGTCTTAATGTCTCGATACTGAATAAGATAAGATAAGATAATCCTTTATTTATCCCACAATGGGGAAATTTACATTGTTACAGCAGCAAAGAGCAAAGATTGCAGACAAAAAGTGAACACAGTACAATTTAAATTAAAAAAAAAGAAAAATTAAGAATGTACAAAAAAATAGATACTAAAAAATAGATTTAAAAAATAGATTTAAAAAATAGATACTAAAAAAAAGATTTAAAAAATAGATATTAAAAAATAGATACTAAAAATAGATTTAAAAAATAGATACTAAAAAAATAGATTTAAAAAATAGATCAGCTATTGACAAAAGTGTAGTCCGTAATATTCAGTGTAATAGACATGCACACAGTGCACATAAAGTGTAACATGTTATTGCACAGTGGTTTGATAAACATAATATAACATTAATATAACATTATTATTGCACAAAGTCAGAGTGAATTGTCCAGTTGTTTGTGTTTTGTGATCTTCTGGGAGCAGGCTGGTTAAACAGTCTGACTGCAGCAGGAAGGAAGGACCTGCAGTATCTCTCCTTCTGACTGAATATAATATAATGAATAATATGTTCTCTTACTGTATATTGCATTGTTTTACCTTTAAGTATTTAACCAAACAAATTCTTTGCAAACTGACACTCCTTCTTGTTCAAGGTCTAAAGCTAACATATCATAAAAAGGCTAACTTCAGAAAAGAGAATTCGTTTGCTTTATAATAAAGATGTCATTTCAGAAAGCTATCTTAGCAAAGCGAGCCGTATCTTTTATTAACTCACCAGAAACGTTCATTTAACAGCCCGCATCTTTCGGTCCCTGTTTCTTAATTCTTGTCAGATATCAGAGAGAAATCTGTCACAAAGTTCAAGGCCAGTAAAGTTATTTCACCCTCAGTGTTTACAACTAGCATGTAACAAGTACAGGAAGCTGAAAGGTGAATTGACGGGATGTAGCGTCATTGACGTGGGGAATGGACCAATCAGAAGCCTTCTCTCAGATTGAACCAATAGACGCGAGGCTTTCACCGGTGAATGAACCAGTCCAATGAGGACCGTGGAAAGTGAAGCGCGGTGTAGAAAATAAATCATTACTTACTTTATACTAAATTATAACGAAAAAAGTGTAATCTCAGCGTCACCTGTTGTAAAACTGTATTGTTCTGACTAATCATTAAGATTGTTTGTTCGTTTTTACCTTCTTAAAACGTATAAATATCAGAAAAAAAACAAAATGCAATGCATGAAAATAAAAGGAATTCAAATAAAGACGAGATCATACGAAATTAACACATATGGATTTATTTGAAACTGACATCAAACTGATTTACTCCGCATGCATTCTGAACAGTACACGGCGTGCAATAAATTCTTTATATTGATCTTTTTTTTCCCAGCCCCTCAACTTATAAAAACAGTAAGTCCATAACTTTCTTTGATCCTCAGAACACGTTTTCATTAATCTTCTACTGCAACTCATAGTGTAAATTCCCTGAATACAACTTCAAGACAGCATTTCAAGTTCAACGTAACAGTCTTCTGCGCTCAAGGCAACATTAGTGGAATACTGTTTCAGGCTCTTGTAATCAGAAGTCAACACAGAGCAGATTTGGCTTGAACTTTGGCGGCATTTCTTAGCGCACCAAACCCCAAAAAAACACTTCTTCTCAGGATGTGAACATCAGAACTCGGACCCTCTATTCACACAAGGTTTCTGTACAGCGTGCAGTCATCTCATGCTACCTGAATAAACACTGGTATGGCTAACAGAACAGAAGCAAACACCCAGATTGATGAATTCACAAAAGATGTGTGATAGGATGGGAATCTACATATGTTTTTTTAAGCTTAGCACCTCATCTCCACATACAGAGTATGTGTTTGCATTTTTAAAGAGTGAGTTTAAGCTTTAAGGTCTTTATAAAACTTTAGTTACTCCTTGCATCCTTGGCAATATAAAGTCACTCTAGTAGCAGCCTATCATCAAACCAAACCATTCCTTCTTAAATGTCCCATTGTCTAAAAAAGATTTTATATTAAAGGGCTTGTTTTTCCAAGTGTAACACTGCTGCTTCTTACAAACACTTCTCGACCCAAGTGACCTATCCGGTAGCTCGTGTGAAACCAAATTAAGTCGCAAAGACCACAGATTCCAGCTGAGTGGATTTCATTTCAGCAGCATGAAGCTCCCCTGCCTGTACTCCACCAGTCTCACAGTGAAGATATTCAGTTTAGCCTCGAGTCGTCCACACTGAGCTGCTGATGGTCGTACTCCGATATGAGCTTCTTGATGTGTGCAAGTTTGTTGTGAAGATATTCACAGTGAACCTTGTCCTGGTTGAAGTTGGGGTTGGACTAAAACGAGAGAAAAGAAAAGACTTATTCATGCAGCACCAGAAGAGGGGAGCAGAGATTTACACATGCAGAAATGTTGAATTAACACTGTTAATATGATGTAGGATAGGAGTTACCTTTTTAATTTTGCGATACTCTTTAAGTATTTGATCATGAACCGTCTGCAAGACAACAACAACAAAAAACTGTCATCAGAGATCTTTGACACAATATTAGAAGTTTACTGGATTTACACATTCTTATGCAAGATTTATGTTTAGGTTAATTGGATGGAAACAAGGGGGCTAACTATTCCAATACCTACTTCTGTGCAAAATACTAAAGTTTAGTTTTGACTGAGAATCTTCTCCCTAATTTGATGTGACAAATTAAAAACTGCACGGCTTTCTCCGACCGTTGATTCTAAAAGTGAGAGTGGACAATATTAAAGGGACTATATGAGAATATGCAGGCTTTAAGATTCCCAATGGAGTTTGGCCTAGAGAAGCACTTCAGAGTGTTTACTGAACGACTGTTTGATGGGACAATAAACACATGGGAAGACTTTGTATGCAGCCCAGCTCAGGCAACGCAGAGACGAATACAAGCTCATAAACAATGATATCAACACTGTTGGCTTCAATACAACTCTGGCTTTTTAAATGTTTTATAAGGAATGAAAAGGAGATATTAGAAATAGGTATAAGCTATTTTAATTACATATTTTCATCTGGTTTCCCTCAAAATGTCTGAAAATGTGATGGAAATAATCGGGAACATTTTGAAATGGGGAAAGAAAAAAGGAAAACAAAACTGAGCACTGAGATCAATTTAGTTTATAGTTACACTTTTTCACAGTGTGTTCACAATAGCAAAGAATCTGGAACACACTTTTTAGCTGACGAGCTCAAAGTGTCTCTACACTATAAGCTTGCGGTGGATGAATGTTGCTCTAAACTTAAGATTTCATGGTCAGTATCTGTGAAAAGGTGCCGGTTGTCTTCATGTTTACCTTGTATTTATGGGATTCATGGTGAAGCTGCTTCAGCTGTGTGTCCAGCTCCATGAACTGCCGCGTCACCCGGTCAATACGAGCATGTAAATCTCTGTACTCGCTGTACTCCCTGTTGAAGTCCAGCTTGTAGCGCTGCCTCTGGTCATGACTGTGAATCCCCGTATACGTCCTAGAGAAAAGAAAAAACAAACACTATGAGGTGAAGCACTCACCTTAGATTACAACCTGAGCATATGAATTGTTATATTGGTGATATTATCTAAATATTATTAATGTGTTGGAGACATTTTTATTCACACACTTTGATGCATTTTGTGTCATAATAAGGTTTACGTACGATAGATAGTCGGCGGGGTCTTTGTCCACTTGAAGCAGATTAGAGTCAAACAAAATGTCACTAGGCTCTAAATGAAAGAAGAAACAAAGTCATTTTCAGTAATACAAAGTTGACACTAAGAGTTATAAGTCAGGTAACATCGCTCACCTGTGAAGTCCACAAGTGCAGAATCCTCCAAATGATGTTCCTTCTTCCTTTCTTTCCTCTCTCTCCTTCTGTCCTTTTCCTTTACACACATGTGAAATCTTATTAAGCATTATGTTGTAAAAAAAAAAAATACAGTATTTATGAATGATAAGATGTAGATTCCTCACCTGATCTTTGTGTTTGTGTTTGCTCTTCTTCCTTTTGCTTGTGTGTCGGTCCTGTTTGGGCACAACCAGAGGGGACGGAGGATCCGGACTGGGTTTAGGACGGTCTTTTGCCGTGCTGTTGGGCTCCTCCTGAGCACAAGGAGGAGTCGGTTTAAGCCTCTTGGCCACTTCTGCTTCCTGCTGACAGACCGCTGACAGGGAGTCGAAAAGCTTCCGTGGATCGAGCGAGTTCCTCTGCTTGTCGTTCCCTGTCACCTCTGTGACATCTTTATGAGCCGCCTGTCTGGACGTCGTCACCTGTGTCCTGTCGCTGGATGTTTTACTCGACAGGTGAGATATCCTGGGCTTCTTACTCAGCAGAGGGTCAGTGTATTCCTCAGGCAGGGAAAGTTTTGGACGGTGGGCTGGTGAGGAGTTGGGGGTGTCCCGAAGTGGACTGACCTGGGCTTCAGGGACGGTGAGGAGGCTCCGCTGACGTGGAAACAGTCTCCTGCACAGCAATTAGAGCGAGATAAGAAGTTAATTAAACACATTAGCATGAATGGAAGATTATTTTTTGATGCAACTATGGCAGAAAGTCTGTCATTTGTGTTACCTGACAAGAATGCGTTTGAGAAGTTGCTGATCTCCGGAGGTGTAGCCTGGCCAGTCCTTCTGCAGATCCTTATAGAGGCCATCCTTTAAACCAAACGTGTTGTCTCGGCTGTTAAGCTGGCCAACCTGGACACAAATAACCACAGACACACACGAGATCAAAGCAGGTGAATAGAGACTTGTCGTGTGTTCTTTGACTAAGTTTCATTAAGTTTCTTTATCTTTATCTTTGCCATTGACTTTGTTTTTCTCAGTGTTTTCACCACACAGACTTAAAGGGGGGGGCTAAATAAACATGCCAATTTAAATAAGGGCACAAGTAAGTATTTTTTATTAGATTATTTAACAAGAAACATTGGTAAGTAAGAAAGTCATCAGAGCAAACACTTACAAGCAGATAAAAAAGACGAGGCAGGCTGCTGTGTGCAAGAAACTGACCCTGCTACACTGTTTTCATTAGTGTACACTGGAAACTGTAAATGTGTCTAACTTCCTGTAAACTTTCTGTATGATTCCTGAGATTTGGGAGTGAACGCAAAGTATGTGGATTTAGCCGCCACTAGGGGGCTCACAATCAAACAATAACTAAAGATGACGTCGAGGCTGGCGGGGAATCATGGGAGTGATTATCTCTGCTACTACACCCCCACCCCTGAATAAAACGAGAGCCAAAGTGAGCGTAGTCAAGACAAACATGCCGAACAGACATGATGTAACATCTGGTGTTTCCACGGCAACGATAAACATGTTGTGTCAGTCGTAGCGGTCATGGCAGCCACCACGACAAGACACGCCCTGTTACGACTGTAATACGGATTTCTCTGGCTTTGAGAACTGTTGGAAATATTACAGATAATTTAAGTACTCGACTAAAAATATATATAACAAAGGTTTAGTCAATTTTTTATTTATTTTGATATTTTATTTTGAAAAAATTCGACATATTGTCTCTTTTAGTGGCTCTTTTAAGTGTTATTTAGTGATAAGATCCGAATTCATGCAGGGGGGAAATAATCTTACAGCCTCGGTGTTCGTGTTTTCTCTCAATCTATGATTCTTTTTATTTTTTTTACACACCTTTCATGCTTTGAATGAGACCATTTCTATGCGTGTTGATGAATAAATTACCTCCATCAGTAGTAAGTCCAGCTTGTCTTTGTCTCCTGCTGTCAGTCCATCGTTCTGCAGCCTCAGGATCAGCTCGGGCCTCCTGTACGGCCTCAGTGCCAGCAGGTGTGTTATTCTCTCCCTGAGTGCCCTCCCCTGCATTGCAGCCACGCTCTTCTTGTTAGAGGCGCAGGCGCTCTTCTTCAGCTTGGACGTGCCGAGTCCCTTCCTGATGTTGTTGACCAGAGGGT